CACACTTTCATTTTCACCAAGCCTTCTGAACAACCAAATGGAGCTGCTTTTTGGTGTCTGTGACTAACAGGGTGTGTGTTTTAAATCCAGTCTCGGGTCTGCTCCAGTGTCCTGGCCTCCTTCCACCCTGGGCTGAAAACTGTGTGTATTGGGGTGAGCCAGGTCTCTCCCTCCCACATGTATTATAGTCCTATACTTTGAAAGCCTACAGTGCAAAATGGAAGTATGTTGGAGTTAGGATGGAAGACAGGGCAAGAGAAAAGTATTGGGATGGATATTTGTTAATGAATTAAAATTAGAACTAAAACTGGACAGACCTTGGGTATCCTCTGCCTTGCATTGCTTTCTGATTAAGTAACCTGCCTGGCGATGCCCAGGGGCCCACCATTCCACTTAGATAATAAACACACGGACACAAATATTTTGAGTTAATGGGCTATATGGGATGCGGGTGGCGCTGTGGGTTAAACCACAGAGCCTAGGGCTTGCCATTGGCGGTTCAAATCCCCGCGATGGGGTGAGCTCCCATTGCTCGGTCCCAACTCCTGCCCACTTAGCAGTTCAAAAGCACGTCAAAGTGTAAGTAGATAAATAGTTAACGCTCCAGCAGGAAGGTAAACAACATTTCCGTGTGCTGCTCTGGTTCACCAGAAGCGGCTTAGTTGTGCTGGCTACATGACCCGGAAGCTGTACGCTGGCTCCCTCGGCCAGTAAAGCTAAATGAGCGCCGCAACCACAGAGTCGTCCGTGACTGGACCTAATGGTCAGGCGTCCCTTTACCTAATGGGATAAATAAGTCCACAGCTTTATTGGTTACAGATGTGAGCAGTTTGGATTAGACATTCGGTGAAACCAATTATATCCTGACTCCTGCATGCCCGCAGGAAGTCTCTTATGGGTCAACTGCAGGAAGTCTCTTAAGGGTCAACCACCAATAGGGGGAGCCATATGATATAAATAAATTAAGAGCATCCCCCAGGGTCCCCGATGGGGTTGTGGCATGGCCCTGGCCCACACCCAGGCTTCAGACAGGATCCACACCCCCAGATCCCTTTATTGGGATACCCTTAATGAGGAGAGGCAGTTGGAGGCAATAACCTCCCCTTTCATGAACCAGGCTTACCCAATGCCTAACCACCCGCAGTGGTCATGCCCCCTGGATCACCTGATTGGTCAGCCAGAGGGCTTGACGCAGCTTAGAGTCTCAATGATGCACAGAACGGTCATGGATGCCCGCCTACAACTCCACCCCCCTGGGAAGGGGAGTGGTCTTCCCACTATGTTGCTCAGGATATTTGCCTCCCATCTTTTGACTTAGAAAACTGCTACCCTGTTCAGAGCAAGCTGACAATGCTTTTAGCAGCCAAGTGACTTGAGATATGTCTGTCTACAGGGGCAGGGTTGGAACCTGTATGCAAAGCAGATATTCTCCTACAGAGCAATGGGATTTACTTCAAAGTTAATATTGTTATAGATGGGGGGGTGTCCCCCTAAACCCTAGGAATGAATAATGCTAGGATTTTGATTAATTGGGATATGGATTAAAACATAAACTGCAGAGTTGTGCTAGACAGGGAATTCCTGGGTTGGCTTGTGCCAGCAAACCAACCAGGCTGAGCCAGAGAAACAATAGAGGAGCCGGCCATTAACTTCTTCCCCCAGGTGTGAACAGAGACTGGGGATTTGGGAGGTTGCCAGGGTAACTGGTCTGGGGGAAGGCACGGGGTTTATGAGAGGAAGAAAGGAGAGGAGCTAGGATCCATCTTTGAGGGAGGCAGACTGAAGGTTGCCTGCACTGCCGCTTCTGGAAATGTATAAGCCGTAAGATCTGGACTCCCTTCATGCAGACTGAAGGTGTAAATAGGTGAATAAACCATATTTCTTAAAGCATGACAGTCTCTGCCATGCCTTCTATTCTCCAAAGGGACACAGACCCTGTGTGTGTGCCTGGGACCCCATGGGCTCTTGCCACCGCTTGGCAGAGAAAGGGACAGGCACCCAACTTTTGTAACAATATATTTAGGATTGCACTGTTGAGAACCTGTGAATGTTCCAGTAAAACCACATTAGTCATGAAAGAAGGAAGCTGGCTGCTTGTTATTATAGTCTTTGCAAACATGCCAAGGTGTTGCAGGAGGAGTTGGTTTAAAAGGAAGCCACAGTGTATATTTAGGGTAACGCTTGTATACTGCACAGTAATTAGGGATGGAGATGAAGCAAGTGTTGAACTGAAACCATAAAGAATGAACTGTCTATTGTATTCATAATACATTTCTGAATGTTGCATTGCACTTGTGGCTGTGTGAAGAAATGTTTACTTAATAAATTATTATTTCTATCCTAATTCTCTGCATGGTACGTAATGGTGGCTTATAAACATATATTTTAAATAGGAGCAACAATCATAACTACCACAGACCTCTATCTTCCTAGTTAACCTTAAAACTCTCTTCAGTCCTCCAGGGATTCTTTTAGGATTGTCCATTCAGCAGAACTTCCAAAGATATAGCTCTTGATCTTTTCCTAGATCTCCTCCTTACTGCTTAACTTGTGATTATGGGCAATCACCAAAGCAGTTATTGAGGGATTTCAGTCATTTACTTTTTAACTTCTAAACCCAGACTTTTCCATTTAAAAACCTTTCTGAGTACTTTTTAGACCCTGGGCACTACTGGTTTTATGCTGCTTTATTCTTAGTATAATGATATTTTAGCTGGTGTTTTCATTTTAGGTTATATTTCTAATTTGTACCCTGCCCAGAGAATTTATTGTTAAGGAGCAAGATAAAACTGCTGAATAAATAAATATGTAACTTTAAGGATAGAACATTTTGGAAATAAAGACTAAGTCAGTATAGTGTGACAGCTAAGGCTGCAGTCATAACTCTCACTGAATTTAGCAAGAGTCTGAGTAAAGTTAGGGCAAGTCAGCAAAGTATTAGTTTGGCGATTCTTATTGTGGTCTAACTCAAGCCACTGTTATCTCTGCAATATGAGGGTGATGGCATTAACCTACCTTAAAGCAGACTAGCTCTGTCAAATTACATGTTTATCCTACCTGTCTTCCACAGTCTTCAAAGGCATTATCCCTAAGACTCCTAGGCAATTCCCCATCTGATCAGACTTACACTTACTAGCTTTAGCAAGGTTGCACCATCACACATATCCAGACCATGCCTTGCTTTAAGGATTATGGAGAAATATGAATATATTTAAATTACCTTAAGACCTATACAAATGCTAAGTGTTTTATATAAACCTTTCAGGGACAGTAATTGTTGATGTCTTTGCTTTCAACTAAAAATGGGATAAACATACTACATATTAGTTTTTGATTAGTTTTTTTTTAAATGTAAGACAGATTTATAGCCCAATCATATTGTGAGGGCTTTCTCAGTTGCCATGCCTAGATTATGGAACATATTGTCCCAAGGTTAGCTCTCTCCTGCTCTGTATCTCATTGTTTACTAAAAACCTTTGAATTCCAGCAGGCTTTGTTGTTGTGTGGTAGAGAATTCGCTTTTTAGGAAAGTTTTTAATGTTTGATGTTTTATTCTGTTTAATATTCTGTTGGGAGCCCCCCAGAGTGGCTGGGGAAACCCACCCAGATGGGTGGGGTAGAAATAAATTATTATTATTATTATTATTATTATTATTATTATTATTATTATTATTACTTTCTATGCTTGGTTTTAACTGCTGAGCCAGAATCCTTGGTTGTTTCAAACTGTTGTTTTTATGAAATTGTAACTTTAAACATTGTAAGCCACCCTAGGCGTTGCTTTTGCATCAGTTAAATAAACGTTTACCTGGAAGTCTTACTGCATTCAGTGAATCTTTAAGGAAAGAATTATGGGATGAGTCTGCTTGTTCCAGCAACCAGCAGAAAAAAAGTTGACCAGATGGTTCAATGTGGAAAATTCAGCCAATTCTATTTAACCTACTTGCTCTTGCTTCCTGGTTTATAATTCCCAGCTTTCAAAATTTGCTTGCCTAACCTTATTTCCTGAAGCTTTATTTCCTTACAGAAGCTGCACTGTCAGCATTCTAATGCTAACAACTTCATCCTGAACAATTGAAATGTTCACAAACCTTCCATGACATCGCTGCAGTTTAGCCAATGGGTGGAGCAGTGGTGAGGGAGAGAGCTCATGGCTGACACACTTTGAAAAGCTTTTCATTATGCAGATAAGTGCATGCAAGTCAATTTATTTGTTGGCATGCCTTAACGCAGCACATGCAGCCACCACTTGAAAGTACAAAGAAAGGCATGAAATATGCAACGAGGCAAAACTATTAACCATTTAGCCAGTGGCGTAGCGTGGGGGGTGCAGGGGGGGCCGGCCGCACCGGGCGCAACATCTGGGGGGGCGCGCTCGCACTTGCAGCTCTCTGCCCCTACCTGGCTCACTCACTCTCTCTCACGGGTTAGGGGGCGCAAATTACTTGCCTTGCCCCGGGTGCTGACAACCCACGCTACGCCACTGCATTTAGCTATGTAAATATAGTAGAATAATTCGTAGCAAGTGTGTAGTGTCAACAGGGCTGAGCCTTTTAAACTTCCTGCTGCTTCTGTCTTTCAAGTTTGGGCATGTTTGAATCAGATCTCCCTTTCAAAGGTAGGTTGGCACATCGCACTTTCTCCAGTCGTGTAGTTTTGCCCTTAACAGTGCATCTCTGTGGGAGGAAAGGAGCGTACTTTTCATACTGACCCGCTTTTTCAGCTGCTTTCTGAAATACAGCTTGGAGAAACCCCTGCTTTCGTGAGCATTGCCCTCACTTGCTTCCATAACCTCTGCTCCAGCCTTATTCAAAACCACGGAACTTTTAAGAAAAGCAGAGGTTAGAAACACACCAAAAGACAACAGCTTCAGGGCATATTTCCCCCTGGCACTAATAAATAAGACGGCGACCCCCACCCTCCCGATTTCGAGACGAGGCAGAAGGGCTCCGGGAAGCTCAAGGTCGACTTCCGTGTTCGCGGGAACCGCCCCCTTTTCCAGAAACCCAACTCCGACACGGAGGGATATTACCGTTACCCCCACGAGGAACTCTTCCCGAGAGGGAAAAACCTTTTCGGTTGACCGAACCGACGCAATGCTGAGGCCAAAAGAGAGCGGAATAGAGGCCCCAACAACAGCGGCCGGGAGCAAAGCGCTCCCCGTCACGTCTGAACGCTCTAACCTCGAGCGCCCGCGCTGGCTCGGGGCCCCGACTCGCGGTTAGCGCGCTTAAGAGGCGTGAGGCGAAGAAGCGAGCGTTTCTGCTCGTGGCCGCCGTCGCGGCTGTTTCAAAACTGAGGCGGGTGCTGCGCGCCAGGAGCCGAGCCAAGGGGGCGGGGCCTCGTGTGTGAACTGAGGGAGCCGCGGCGGCGGCGGGTGAAGTTAGCAGATTTATTTTCATTTCCCCCCTTCTCTCTCTATTTTTGCGGCCGCCCTGTCAGGAGTCCCCCTAACCCCGGCTCCGCGCGGCCGCTGACAGGGGGCTGGAAGCCGCTCCTGCCGCCTCCTCGCTTTCCCATTAGCAGCTCCCGCCCACCAGCCCACCGGGCCGGGGCCTGACGGACCGACTGACAGACCCGCTTCTCCTTTCTTTCCGGGCTGGTGGGGAAGCGGCACCCCTCGCGCGGCCCCGCGCCTCAGTTGCCAGGTCGGTCTGCCGGCAGCTCCCGCCTCCCCTCCTCCGGAGCTTCCCATGCAGGGGGCTGACGAAGAGGAGCCGCCAAGCGCCAGGTAAGGGACATGCGGCGGCGCCTGCCAGAAGCAACAGGCTGTGCGGGGTCGGGGAGACGGTTCCTTCGCAGAAGTTTATTGGAACCGAGAGAGAGAGAGCAGAGCTTTGGGCTTCGAGGGCGGGGCGCGGACGCCGCCTGTCAAGTGGGGAAAAAAAAAGGATCAGGGTTTTTTGTTGTTTTTGCTCATCTTGAGCTGAGGGAACTTCTCTGGCACTGGAAAGACCAAAACAAAAGCAGCAACCCGCCCAGAGCGTTTCCAGAAGCGGCGCCCCCCCCCCCGAGGCGACGTCGTGTTCTCGGAAACCCCCAATCATGTGCGGAGGACGGAAGGTTTAAAAGATTCACACTGGCAAGGGGAGATCCTCCCACCCCCAACCCCTCTAGCTTTTTCATTGTGAATGCAGAAAACACTCGTTATGGGCTGAAGAGAGGGAGGCTATATAGTATTTGGCGATCGCCAAATGGTTTGGCTAAGTGACAGAACTGGACATCTTCCTGCTTGCAGATTGCGGGGGGGGGGGGTTACCTCCATCAGGAATTGCTCCGCGTGCCGGCAAATTCCTGACGAGTTATCCCCATTAGTCACCAGCTGTAGGATGATAAGAAGCGTCCTTTCCCCCCTTTTCTGATAAAAGTAGGCTGTTGTCCACGAAGGCTCTCGGTAAATCAGATGAGTTTATTTTTAACAGGCACTGCTGCAGGTTTGCCTAGTTTATCATCTCGTCTGCTCCTCGATGAGTTATAGAACTGTAGAGTTGGAAGGGACCCCTGAGGGTCATCTAGTCCAACCCTCTGCAACGCAGGAATCTCAACTGTCACACATGAGAGATGGCCATCCAGCCTCTGCTTGAAAATCTCCAAGGAGAGTCCACCACCTCTTGCTATTTTACTATTTTGCACTGGCTAAGCATGTCAGATTAAAAAAAAAAAGAACTTCAGTAATGGCGCAGCTGAATGCTTAGTACAGGAATGGGGGAAAATAGGGGCTGGTTGACATGAAGAATATCTTCATGTGATCCAGTTCCATGATCATTATGACAGCATGAATATGACAGACCGAGAGACATGTTGACATGTTGATAGGCTACGTTGCGGTATAGGTATAGAGCTTCATGTCAACCGTTGTGGTTCCCAGAACAAGTAACAAGGCTTCAGATTTGCATATACTTGGTCATGCAACATCACAGCTGCGGAATGCATAGTGTGAAGTAGCCGTTAGAGCAGAGATGGGGAATCTGTTGGACTGCAACTCCCATCATCCCTGACCTTTGGCCATACTGGCTAGGACTGATGGGAACTGAAGTCTAACAGCATCTGAAGGGCCAGAGGTTCCCCATCCCTGCATTAGAAGCAGCCTTAAAGTAATATATCTTTTATGTTAGTGGTTTTTAAAATTAAATGGTATAAAATTTCAGCGCAACAATTCTATGATTCTGTGAAATTCTCTTAAAAAATAAGATCCAAATTGGCTTGCTATCTGACTTTCAAAAGAACTTACTTAATTAAGCATTTTTCTTAACCTGCCTTAGAAATATTTGAAAAGTGACAGTAAAGTACATTTCACACTTCCTAAAGACTCAATTGATTTATGGTACCTTGTCTTATATCGGAAGAATAGAAATTGGACCTTCAGATGGTGAAATCAAGCGGACTGTTCCTGCAAGTTAGTTTGTATTGGCATGCACTTTCACTTGAAAGCAGATTGAAAGTTTACATCGATACTTAAATGAAACAGCTCTGGCATCTTTTTAAGATGACACAAGATGTAGTGACTTATGGTAGGTGTGGCAGACATATACTTGCAATATTTTGTTGATGAGCATCTTATTATCTAATAAAGTGGATCTGTAGTGACATGTCTTGGTTCAAGACTTCTGAACTGAACTGCCATGTCTTGAATACTGAAATAATAAGTTTCAATATTCCTATCTGTTGTTGCTAATATATGCAAATATTAAAGGGAGGATCTAAATCTTGAGTGCAGTGAGACTCTGGGACAGCACATACACTAAAATAGTTGAACTTCTACTATATCCGGACCTCCCCTGTTTTAATCAGGACTGCAAAGTTTAAGCCCTCAACAGCCATAATCACTAGGAAAATAACCTCCCCTTCAACATTTACCTTAGAAAAAAGCTCCTATTGGTGCCATTGAAAATCACCCCAGTGCTTAGTATTAATCTTGCTGAGAAACACTCATGATTCTGCACACTCCACATTTAATTTAATGTGTAGTTAGGCCCAGAGAAACAAAGTACTAACATTCTCAAGTACATGCTGAGAAATGCAGAAATGCAAAACATGTTTTTAAGAAAACCTAAAGAGGGGAAGAAAATAGCCCAATGAGGACTGAACATGCTCCTTCAGGAGCCCTTTAAATCTTACAATATCCTGGTGTAGGAAGTGGTTCCCTGGCTGCCTGGCACCCTGAACATGGGTGTTTCTGTTGAGGTGAGGAGGATATATTGAAACAATTTGTTGCAGGGCTCACTTGGGAGAACATAGTACTGTAGGAGCTTCATAATGGTGACCTGAAGTATCTAGCTGCTTCTTTTATCATAGTTTAGAAACCAGTATGCCTAGAAGAAATGCATGCCAGGTAAAAAACAAAACAAAAAACCTAAAAGGTTTTATGACACCTTCAAGAATAGCAGGTTTATGGTAGCATAAGGTTTCATGGAACAGAGCCAGCCTCAGATGCCTAAAGTGTTCCCCTCAATTGACAGGCATCACCAGTTACTGTTGTTGTGAATACCAGCTGACTTTATCCTTAAGATTGGCAAACGGGGCATTGCTTGTAATCCTTATGAGGATTTGTTGTGATGAGGGGACTTGCAGAAGACCTCTGTAGTGGGGCCTCAGTTCTTGAACCGTCTCACTCTGGGGTTCCATCTTTTCCCTTTGCTGTAGGGATTCTAAAAACATCAACTAAAGATGTTTCTGTTTACCCAGGCTTTCCCCATCTTACATGGTAATCACTGTGTTTTTAATTACTGTTACCTTATGAATATTTTGATTTTGTATTTGTAATGCTGTAATCATGTTGCTAATCCTTTGTTTGTGTATTGCCCTGGGCTCTGGTCAAAGAAGGGTGATTCATAAATACAATAAATAATAATAATAATAATAATAATAATAATAATAATAATAATGGTGAACACAGTCTTATATACTACTTCAGGTTTGCACAGAAATGTCACACAGGTGATGCCTATTGCATTTCCTGTCCTTTGGCAGCACTTCTATGGTTAGCACTTTGTGTAAATGATTGAAGTGGATTCTAGTCCAGAAAAGCTTATGCCACTGTAAGGGAGAAATCCAAAACCAAGATCTGCCGGGATGAGTGGAGTTTGGAATAGGTGGATCTCTGGTTGTCGCTCATCAGCTGGACACCTCAGCTCAGCTGGACACCTCAACTCCGCCATCCTGGCTCACCTGAAGCTGACTGAGCCAAGGCCAGGATAGGTCCCGAAGAAGTGGTGTTCTGGGGCCTTGGCAGGGTTGCTACAGGGTATAGGAACACTTACCCCTATTCCAAACTCAATTCAGCTTGGCCACGTAACCTAGCATCCCAGCAGAATTTACACTGGCAGAAAAGGTGGTGTAAGTCAAACTCTGTTTTAAACGCTTGTTTTCCCTCTGCCAGGCTTAGATCGTTTTAAAATAATTATTTATTAAATTGATATCCTGCCATTATTCACAAAGTATCCCAGCTGCTAAATAGGGATAAATTGCACTAATATAATTTACTCATGGGTAATTTACACTGGCTTCTTATAGTCTGGATTGCTCTGTCAATCTGTTAGTTTTTAAGGTGCTATAATACACCACCAGATTTTATATAAAAGTAGAGGATTTAATAGTGCTCTGGCACCACCTGGTCGCTTCCAAAAGTCCTAGGTTTAGGTGCAGTCTTGGCAAGAGGATTGATGTCTTGACTATCTAAACTGATAGCTGATAGCAATTTTATTCTTCTTTTGAATGCATTTGTACAATTGTGCATGACCGATCCAAGTGTGGTGGCTTGTTGTGAGCTATGAATACCCAGTAAGTTTCTACTACAGTCTCATTACCCTATTCTGCAAGCATTTATCTATATCATATCATCACAGATAGTCCTTTGACTCTTTGGGAGTATATAGTTTTGGAGATTTCAACACTCTCCATGTTGGATTAGGGCCAATAGGGAGATAATTACTTAGAAAAGAAGGGCAATTTTCCTGAGAGAAATGTGACTTTTTGTGGTTGGAGTTTTGAAACAGCTCCCAATTAGTATAGTTTATGTATCTGTCACTCACATGAGGGGTTTTAAACATTATTACATTTGTCTTTCAGGACAGAGGCCTGGCTCACACATCATGCTAAACCTAAAACAAATCTTGTATTTTTGATCATTTTGATACATGGCCTGATAGCTTCTGGACTGTATTATTGTAATGTACTCTACATGGTATATTCAGCCTTTGAAGTGTATTCAGAAACTTAAGTTGATCTAGAATGGAGTAACTAGGTTGTCAACTGTAGTTGGCTACATGGCAGAAAGCACATCTCATCTATGTTCCCACCCACTGTTTAGGCAGAACTCAATGTACTGGTTTGGACTTGAAAGTCCTAAACGTTTTGAGATCAGGAAGATATCTTAATCAAACTTTGGCACATGCAACCACTATTCTCTGCCTTGCATTATATTATTTTGTACATCATTTTTAACAGGATCTGAGCATGTAACATGTAGTTTGAATGTCTAGGCTTCTGTAAAGTGCTTGTTTAAATATTTTGGTGTTGGGAAAAGACCACTAAGTTGGTCAGAACACTTGATTATTAAGTTGTTATCTTTGGGAAAACTTCTTGATGTTGTTTTTGGGGCTATTTATTCCTAGTAGTATTGATGTTGCAAGAAGCAGACCTAAAATATCAGTCCTGCAAATCTAAAAGTATTTAGCTAACATACAATGGTGCAGTGGCGTAGCGTGGGGGGTGCAGGGGGGGCCGGCCGCACCGGGCGCAACATCTGGGGTTAGGGCAAATCCACGGGTTAGGGGGCGCAAATCCACGGGTTAGGGGGCGCAAATTACTTGCCTTGCCCCGGGTGCTGACAACCCACGCTACGCCGCTGCAATGGTGTAGAATTGGGGACCTATGTATCATTTATTGACTTTTAAGGGTTTAAAGCAATGGGATATCCATACTTGGTACATCTTCCCTTTTTTGTTTAGGTACTGCTGCATCCAGCTGGTATGATGGATTTTGTTTTAAGTATGAGGGATACTGTGCATTACCTTTCTTTATGTGGAAAATAATTGGGCAGAAATCCTTAGGATGCAGTTCTATATCTGCTTACCATTGAATAAGGACCATTGAACCCAATGACATTTTTTTCTGAGTAGACATGTATGGGATTGCACTGTAAAATTTTAGTTCCAGCTATTGAAGTTTTTAATAATATTCCCTACAATTGTGTTATATTAAAGATGAGACCACATAGGTACTTCAGGAAGGAGGGGGAATGAAATGGAATCCCCTTCCTCCCCACAAAAACGTGTACTGTATATCCCCCTGTCCGCAATAGCAAAAGTTTCCATTTAAAATATCAATTTTCAGTGCTGTATTCTTAAAGTACGATTGACAATCAAGAACTCTCCTTGCAGATTCTTAGCTTGTTAGGTGTAATTACACATAAGTCACCCAACAGCCAGGACCCTCCCATTTATCACATGTGTGTTTGCATACATACATAAGGAGGAAAGCCAGAGTCTGAGGATGTATTTGGTGGTGTTACTGCAGATGATGTTGGTGTGCTGACTAATCTATACCTGCTGGGACATGTTCATGAAATTATTTTTGCAAGTGGCTTCAAAGCAGATGCCATATATTACTTGGGTGTAGCCCATCATTTGATTCTGTGGTTGTATTTTTCCCTTCTGTTTTCCAGAATAATATAAACAAAAGAACTAGTCAAGCAATGAGCTATATATGTGCTTTATTTGGAACTAGAGTAAGTTTCATGTACAAAGTGAGTAAAATACAAACATACTTAGTTACATCAATTGCTGATGGATTGTGCATTGGGTTTCCCCTTGCATAATTGGACCTCAATTCCATCTCCCTCCACACCCCACCACGTCGCTTCCAGCATGTCCCCCATATCTGCTCTCACCAACACTCCTGCCCTATCTTCTTGCATGTATTTCCCTGTATGCTTAGCCCCTGATCCTCCCTACATGGCATGAGTAATGCCTGCAGGGGTCTTTTACTCATGTTCACTTTAATGGACGCAGAACCCTCTGTGTGATCAGAGGCCCTGATAAAGGAGGGTCCCCAAACACAGAGAGGAAAACTCTCCTTTCTGTTTATGAACCTTCTGTAGAACCTTCTGGGCTACTTACATGGGTAGTGGCTTTGGAAGAACAGACATTTTAACAAAAGGGAATGTGTGCATAAGGGCCAAGCAGGTCAGGAAACAGCTGGTTCAGTGCTAATGATGGAATCTGTTAGTACTGTATCAATGGAATACTTGCATGAAAAATAGCTGTGTCTTAACATTTTGTGGAAAATACAGTTAATGGCTTTCCTCATAATCTTTTCTAGATGCATAGTGTTTAATTCACTAGCACAAGACACTGGCCTGTAGTGTTTAGGGTTGCCACTTGACATTGTCAACCCCTCTGCAGGTTTTCTGCTCCGTGTCTTGTTTCTCTTCTTCTTTCACTATTTCTGTTGTGGGCATCCTAGGGTGTTGTTTATTTTTGTATTCAATTTATAGCAGTCCTTATTAATTTATATTGCTTTCTACAATATTTTGGCTTCATTTTTTTCTGATAACACACAAGTGTATCTTTCCATTCTTGACATCACTGCCTTTTGCTAATATACTTGCTTGCCTTGTGGTTGTGTTCTCATGGATGTCTTTTTAAAAATGAAATTTATACAAAACTGAAATTTCTTATGACATCATAGTTCCACTTCTGTCTCTTTTAACCTTTTATTTTTGTGGGGGAGTTGTGTAAAGAAATCCCCATTTGTTTGGAAGTTTAATTCTGATGTATATTTTCATCCTTTTCTTTTCCTTTTCACTTCTCACTCTTGCATATCTTTGAGCTTTGGGGGTATCAGTTGAAAATAAAAGACAGACTGGTTGATTATCGCCCACTGTCTGCACTTCATTATTGCAGTGCCCTTTTATATAGACTTATCATTTCTTATCTTCAGCTGCTTTCCTTTCTTAACTTTTGCTGCTCACATTGGTTTTTATTAGGTCTAATTTTTATCCAGGTGTCTCCTCTTTTTTCCTGATTTGGGCTTAGTTTCCATGTAGACATCAATTTTGCTGCCTTATTTATCTTTATTATAATCATTCTTCTTATTTATCTGGTCACTTTATATTCCCTGTCTCTTTTTACCTTATAGTGTGCTTTACTTATTTTTTCTTTGTGGTATTCCTTGTCTTTGGAGTGCATCATCTCCTGATACTAGAACATAATCCTCAGTTTTGATTTTCCTGTAGGGTTTAAAGGTATGTTTTTGTTTTTAAATATAACCTGTTAGATAAGGTTCTTCCATGTCCCTTTGCCTTTACTATTATTATTACAGTATATGCATTTGATTGTAGGTCAGGGGATGGGCCTGTCTCTATTTTCATTTGTTATGCTATTTCATTTTATTCTGAAAGCACTTAAGAAAGTATTATTCCAGGAAAAGCAAAGGAGCAGAGTCAATAAAGAAGTGGAAACCTTTCATTGCTGATGCAACTTATTGGCAAATTCTGTGACTCTCTTGAAAGCAACTTCTAGTTTGCATTGTAACTTGTGTGTCTCTTGGTGGGCTGTGGAAATTGTCTGGGCTGAGTTCAGGCTTTATTCATAACCAACAAGCCACCTTTGTATTGGAGCCCTCCTAGATTCACTGTAGTTTGGCAGTAATTGTGGTCGGTAATATTTTATAGTAGCTTCTAAATCTACTTGCAATTTTATTTGAAAGACCTAGTAATGAGGGTGAATATTGCTGGCACATTTACAGTGCTAAAACTTAATGTTAGAAATTGAATATTATATTATAGTAATGAGCTAGCTCTGAATGCTGCTTTTCAAGCACTTCTGCTTTGCATAGCCTGTGGGCATAATCCTACTGACACCAACTGTCTTGGCACACACTCAGAGATAAAAACAAAAGGCAAATTGTGTTAGCTGTTTTGAGGAAGGGATAGTTGACAAAACAAGGCCTAACATTCAGTTGACTTATTTATCATGCAACTAAAACTCTGCTTGTTTCTCATTTCCTTTATCTTCACCTCAATCATTCACGAGAAATATACCTTACTCCAACTTTTTGCATAGTAGAAAAATCAAATTCCCCTGTTGGGGGCTTACAATTGCAACAAACATTAATGGATATTAGATTTGTTGTTTTGCATCTTTTGCATTGTTCTTTGCTCCTTGTTGCTGCCGAGCTGCTGCCAGAGTTCAGAAGCTAATTAAGAATATTGGGGAGGATAGAACAGTATCACAGTAGCATTGACAGTAATGTCATTGCAATGCTGTGTGTGTGTTTCTTTGAAGTGGCTTGAAAATGAAGTATGTAGAAGTAAGTGTCCACCAGCTTCAGGACACCCCCCCCCCACTGTAGTTGATTCTGATGCTTACCAGGCAGCTAGCAAATGGAGAAGAAAGAAAGTGTATCTGAACAGGGGTGTTCTTAGTTCTACCGTATTTGTGGCAATCCATTGCCTACCTTTTAACTGCTACTGATAGGAAAAGCAATCTTGTTCACTTGCACTGAGGAGACAATAGTAAAAATTTCATAGATATGTGGAAGTGTTCATGTGTAAATTGTTTTCTTTAATTGCTCAATCCAGGCTTGTATTTTCTTTAAGGGCAATGAACACTAGTAGACCTGCCATTCTTATAAGCAGCCCTACAGTGATAAGCCAGTGTGCCCAAAGAGAGACGGAAGAAAACACAACATGGTAAGGCAACCTTTTGTCTTGGATTGTTGCATTTCTCATGAGAGAAAGAATATACATGAGGCAAACAGATACCTGTACTGTAGTTTTGAAGTAAGGAGGACAAAGGAAGAACATGATATGCAGCCTTCATTTTGAATGGAAAGAATACAATGTTTACATTTGTGTCTTCAGTTTAGTAACCCGAGGCTAGTTTCTACAAAGAATAACATGAGAGGGTCTTGGAGGGGTACAATGGATTCAGGCCATTTCAGATGTGAGGATGATGTGTTTGTATGTCACATTGCAGATACGCAATGGGAGGGGGTTCCCACCCTGCATATAGGAATCTACTATAGCAGAGACTGGACTGGGATAGAAGTCCCCACCCCCCTTGCTAGTTTACTGTTAGCATAATATAAGCCTGGTGCATGCAATCACTTATTCCTCTTTAAGCTGTATTCCAAGTGGACTTTTGTCTGCGTAGTAACTTTATACAAGGCCAGTCACTCCCTGAAGTGAGCCTTCTGAGCATGTTATACAGGCATTCTACTCATTCGTGACTGTGTAGGGAAATAAATAATTAAAATAAATAAATAAATAGATAAATAAATAAATAGATAGAATCATACCAGGAAATGGTGGGGGAGAGCTGGATACTCCTCATGGCTTGTGGGGACACCCTCCCCAGAGCCCGAAGAGGATGTCAGTGAGGGCAGAGGAAGTCCCAAAGAGATTAGGGCTTTGTTTAGGCTGCGCAGCCTCCCTGCCTAACACCTGGTGCACAGGGTAGCACAGCAGCAGCAGCCTCTTTCCTGCATATCCTCAAGCCTCCAGCTGGTCCCGGAGTTTCAACTCTCAATATTTTGATTTGGATTAGAGATAGGGAGGGGAAAATAGGTATTTAGAGGCTTTTTGGTGGGTGTCTCCTGCTTTACATGATTTCCCGTATGTGTGTGAGGGCCTGGAACGTAACCCTCGCATAAGTGGGGGGATCCCAATCTCAATGGAGCATAGAACACATGTAGAGCCCCTCTTCAGTATTGGAAAATAAGTGTTCTTGGACAAACCTCAGAAGTCTGTACAAATTGGAATGACTTGAGTGATATTCAAGCTTTCAGTGACTGCTAGGTATGTTATTCATGTCATCACTGATTTTCTGTTTATCATGTATTAGAGCAAGGTAGGATTAGGACTGCAGCTGTAGCGAGTTTCAACAAGCAAGGGTCAAATCGTTATAGGGCAGAAGGGTGACTAAAGCTGTACCTTTTTAATTCCCTTCTCCCTCATTTGAAGCAGTGCTAGGCAGGGTAATTATCTACTGTATTTGCCCACTGCTACTTTTCAGGAAAACTGGGACCCTTCATTCTGTTACTTTTTATGTTTTGAGAGCACATTGTGGACCTAGAATCTGGAAGGAGGGAGATTAAATTCTTACCTTCTGTATGTAATAGCTGATTACAGAACTGGTTTAGAGACGAAAAGCTATTTTTAATGTAAAAAACCACCCATTGGCCTTGAATTTGTATCATTTTCTTACTGTATTATCCCACATTTTCTAGTGAGCAAAGACAGAATTCCAGTCTATTTAGTTTTTGTCCCATTTACAAGATGATAGTATTCCAAGTGGAACTGACTCTGTTTTCATGTGCAAGACAGACTGGAGTCATGAACCAGGAGTTTTCTTTGATATTTGTGGAGATGGATCTAAAAGAGAAACTACGCCATAGTTTTCTCCACTATGCATTATCCAGTACACTTCTAAGATCCATTTCTCAAACACATTAAATGAACACATAACAAGTAATTTTTTGTTCTTTTTAAAAAGTATTTTAAGCAGTTTTTATGGCTTGTTTGTAACTTATGTTGAGAGGTACAGTATGTAAGAGTTGATTTATAAATTAATAAATAACCACAAGTAGAAGTTAAAAAACACAGGTCTCAGTACAGATCTTTGGGGACCCCCACTTAGATTTCTCCTACCAGCATGAACAATGGTCAGTGAAGATGGGAGTTGCAGTCCAGCAATCATTGGAGGACTACAGACATTTAAACTCCTGTTTAACACTTTCATGCTCAAATCAACTTAAGGTTTGTTTGGATGGCCACCAAAACATTAATGGTAGGATTTTTCTTTCTCTGCCACTATCATATTGTCAAGTGATAGTGTGTTGTGCTGATTGATTTCATATTTAACTCTCCTCAATTGATGTTCATTTGTGTGTGTGATTTCTGAAGCTTATAATGAAGATGTAATGAGAGAGTATTCTTTTCATGTCTTATGGATGTTACATTAAGTACTGTATAGCAAAGCAGTAATGTTCACCAAATTTAAAATCTTCTGTTCTGGAACACTGTGGAATAAGTTCACATTTAATACCTTGCTGTACATGTTGTGTCCCTAACAGCAGTAGATTTAAGTTATTATAATAGAAACAATTGCATGGGATTCTAAAGCTCTTGGAAGCTGTTGTTGCAAGAAAATGGGCAAAGAGCCTGTTAAGTTGAGGATTCACTTGGAGAACATGAGTCACATAGCGTAACAGTTCTGGTACTGCACGCCCAGAAATGACTGCAAAACATTGTTTTTTAATGGTTAACATGATGGCAGTCCAGAAGGTGATCTCAGACTCTCATATATGCTCTCAGAAAAATAGGCCTTATGACAAAAGGAAAAGAGGTTCCAGAAGCAAATAAAAATTCACATGAACCTCAGGCTTAAGTGGAAAAATACTCAGAACAGACTAACACGATAAAAACATCATGGGGATAAAGATTCACAGAAAGCAGTTTATTTGACATTAGCTCATTACCTCTGATGTTTGATGCAGTTACCACGATCCAGGTGCATGGAAATAAGTTGTAGTTTTTGATTAATCCCTTGCAGAACTAGCATTTAAAGAATAATTTACAGGACATTTTGAGCAGCCCAAAGGGACTGCTTGGTCTACTGCACATTTTTGCCTCAAAAATGCTTTTGTGCATCAGAACCATAGGAGCTAACTCCTAGGGGCTGTGGGGGTTTCAGCCCACACAATAATATATTTGAGGGGGCTGCCTCCCAAAGTTGATGGGCATTCCCATTCAAATGCTGTGTGTGCCCTTGTCATGTGATCAGATATGCAGGGCGGGGCTTACCTGGGCCCCACAATATTTTATTCAAGTTAACACCCCTGATCAGAACATAAGTGTATCTAAAACAGCATGTGTATTCTACAGTGGTTAGCCAGTTGACTATGGGAAGCCCACATATGTGGTGTTAAGGCAACATCCCTTTCCTTTTGCTTCTTAGCAGTGGCTATTCAGTGACTTCTGAACATGGAGGGTACTTGTTAGGGCCAGATTACCTAAAATATCATCTTGAAACCTTGAGATCTTGGGCTGGCAGAACAGTATGCTAAATGCAACCACTCCATAGATTCATATGATGCTGGCAATATTATTTTTATTATTTCCCACAATGTAGTATTTGCACTGTGCATTACAGAATGGGAAACAGTACTGTATAGTATAAAGCCGTAGCCTTGTATGGGGAAGCTGCTTAACATGTACTTTATGTTCCCTAATTTGAGCAAAGTACTGCACACAGTATATAAATTTACATGTGTTTGACACTTCAAAAGATCAGTTCCAAAGTTAATAGCTTCACTGCGGTGAAACTGTGATTGAGAATTCAGTTTGCTTTGTGTTCTGGCTCTCTCTACTTCCTCTTTTTGTTGTGGCACAGTTTTTAGCTATGTGGATTTTAAAGTATTGCACAAAAACTCTGAAACCAAGTAAGGGAGTTGCCATTTCCATCAGGAATTGCCAAAAATTTGCAGAAGTACAAGAGAAACAATATTCCACAGAACAACTTTTGGGAAATTCTTGGCAGAAGTAATAGTATAGCCATTACATTTAAAAAGATGTCTGGTGCAGCTTAACTCATTCTTTTCTACTTTGTCTCCCCTTGTTGGATTGTTTATCAAATAATTTCTCAGCTGACTCTGCCTAGGAGGCATCTTGAGATGTGGCCTCAGTCATGTTTCATAAAATAGTAAGGTTGGAACTTAGATCATCCAACCCTCATCTAAGGATAGGACTGCAAAATGAGGATGGGTGATGTTACAGGAGTAGCTAACCTGTGGCCCTCCAGATGTTGTTGGGCTCCAATTCCCATCAGCCCTGGCCAGTCTGGCCACTATTCAGGGATGATGGGAGTTCTAGTCTGGGGCGGGAGGGTCACAGATTGGCCACCCATGATTTAAATATAGGCCAGCTAGCTAACAGCAGGTTGATAGTGGGACAGGGCAGACACGGACACTATGTCAGGGGTAGCAAACCACATGGGCCAGCTTTAACAGGTGAGTGGGACAACCCATCTGTCAACCACACTGCATCATTATGAGATCACATGATTGATAGGTGGGCTGTTCAACCCACCTGTCCCATTCACCCATGGAACCACAGCACAAGGGCTGTTGCCAGCCCTCCCTGTGCTATTCCTTTCTACCTCCAGTATAGCTATGGAGCAGAGCTTCAGACAAGTGTGGATGGAGTGGTTGGTAACAGTTTCCACCTCCTTATCTGTGCTTTCCCTTCTGCCTTTAACATCAAATTGGCCCACGGCCATTAGATAATGATAGTGGTTATTTAAGTATACATCAAGGAATATTTAGAGGTGGTCTTGCAACCAGGTGGTGAAATATAACTTGTATTACATTGACAAAGTGCATTGTTCAATGCATTTGTTTGTATAGTTTTAACAATGAGCTTGACTCTAACATCAGAAAATGTTTTTGGGGAAATGTGGGGAAGCAATGGATGTGACTGACTAAATTGACATTGTCTTGTATGGTTATAGATATTCAGGTGCAGAGAATTGTAACTAGGATCAAAGTCTTCTCAATCCACCTCCCCTCAAAAGAAGTATTCTGAGATAGAGAATTAGTCTGGATTGTTCCAAAACACACATATCTGTGGTTTTCTGTTCTGTGAAAAGAAAGATGCTTTGCGTACTCAGAAATGCTTCATTGGCTAGAAAG